GTGTTTTAAGGCGAACTTTCACCGATTTATCTTATCACTGACCTGTTTTTACTTCTACCCCGTTTCCATATAACTGTACTGGCCCGACGAGAATTTATCAAAAGCTACGTGTGCTCGCCACCTCGTCTTCTGATTACTGCTATGGGAATTTTGGTATCTCTTCTACCTGTTCGCATAATTTTTTGTTAGTTTTTGCGTCTTTTCCATGCGATCGTCTGTAAGGGTTCTTGCATGAAGAGTTGTTAAATATTACTGTCATGAGAGCAGAGGTAATATTTTCTGATGCACCTCATAAGATTCCCAATGGACAGAGATTATATTCCGGAAACATTATAAAGAACTGTATACCTTGCTAATACTTACTATATGAATAAATTATAATTATTTGACACCAACAGCAAGCCTAAAATTAAGCATTATAAAGCTCTAAAAGTTGTGTATGCAAAATAATCCCAATTGTCCTTGCTTAGGCGCAGGTGGAAAATCCTGGCAACAGGCGCTGTGTGAGGTTGTCTCTCTTTATTATAACTTTCCCGTACCCCTCGGCTGCCTCTACCGTTCCTCAGATGTCTATCGTTGATTTCTTAGGCACGTGGCGTTTCTTTTCTATTCAGTCTCTAAGTCTTAATCGTCCTTCCCGGCGGAAACTTCAAGCGCCCGGCCTTTGATGGGTCGCCTGACTTCACTAACTAGGAACAGGTGATCACTTCCGACAATAGTTTTTATGACTATTTCCTGTTAAGATGCATTCTTCACCAAAGGTGGATGACTTAAATCTCCGCCCCTGCCCGAAAGGCTGATCAAGTAGGTCGTTTTTAAATTTCGTTCCCACCCTGGCAAAGTCAGGTCACTGGATGTCCTTTGGACACCTCCGTTATGCGAACGTCTTCAGCCTATTCTGTGATGCCGAGTCATTTCACTGGTCGGACTTTTGTCTGGACGCCCATGTCCCTAAGGAAGACACTGAAAACTATTTCACAGGCCATTTATACGCCAGGATTTTTGTCAAAAAACCTCTCGAAATTCTTCTTGGCTGCTACCGCGACCACGATTAACGCGCCGTCTCACAAACTGAAAATACACTCGGACTGGTTGAAACTATTTTCCGTCAGGAGACATATTGGTAAGGAGTTCAAGGACTCGTAAGGCGGGCCGTCTAATTTTATGAGCCGACTCTGGTAGATAGCAAACACAGCTTTACCCTCTCCAGTTTATGTTCTAGACGCTTACGGCGTGATGTCCTTATTTTGCGAAAAAACTCTGGATCAAAGTCCCCTAGACATTTTTGCACGACTTTAGTTTTCCCACTCATTACAGCTTGGCCGAAATCAGAGTAAAAACTCCACTGCTTATGAACTACCTGTATTTTTAGTAAAGTGTAAGCACCCTGCCAGCTTGACCGTCCACCATATGTCCCACAGTCTGACGGGGGCACGACGGTAACTTGCTCACGAGTTAGTTTAAAGTGGCAATCGACTTTCACTGCGCCTGTTGCACCCTCCCCTCTCACTCACCTGGGCCCGGTGGCGAGGCAGGGTTAGGACGGCCGGAGGGGGAGGGAGTGGTTGCGGTGACCGACCCGTCTGCGTATGCTACACATGCCTGCTCCACGCGCGGTGGATCTGGTTTTGGTGGATGCGGGAAGTGGCTGGCCGAGATCGCATCATTTTGGCAATACCACTGAGACCATATTAGGGAGAGGTCATTGCAGCCTGACTCTCAGGCCACCGGTCGGCCATTCAGCGCACAAACGCACATTGAGCTGACTGGTGGCCTTCAAAAGCGTGGCTTTTAGCATACTATTATAGGTTCTAGCGCGCTATATTGTTTATAGTGAGTAATGTGCACTGAGGTCGTCGACCCCACCCACTCAACCACATCCTTTGCATAAATTGCGGCAACGATAGAATGTAGGACCCCCAGTTAACTTGAGCTAGCCTGCGGACCGTGTCGTACGTTGAATGGTGGTAGAGGAGGTTTTACGGGTGGGGAACCACACAGGACGGAGTGTAAGAAGATACAGAAAACAAATGAATTTTTGTCGAAAGTCTCATCGTACGCTGGAATTTGACAAAGAAAATGACCGTGATAATTAAAATAAACAAAAATCAAGTTCATAGGTCTTTTGGCAGATTTTGAATAACTCATATTGACCCAACTGTGAAAAACTCGGCGCCTCGGTGGGATTCGAACCCACGCAGTAGGGAGAAGGCTTTAGTACAGCCAACGCTCTAACCACTTGAGCTACGAGGCCCCGCCGGACGACCAGAGTTTAATCACATTTGGGTCAAGTTTACCCGCCCAACCTACTGCAACGTCTGGAATCCACCAAATCTGATACAGACAGTTGACTGTCCAAGCAGGATTTCTTAAGTAATTCACCTAGAATCCACCAGATGACTACCAGGCTCACGTAATTCATAGGTATTTTGGCAGATTTTGATTCAAGAGATGACCGTCCGTCCTGTAGGCGATGCGGATTCCAGGGCGTTCGTCGCGGTAGGCGTCCATCAGCATGGCAGAGAACATAAGACTGAAGAGGGTAGGCGCCAGCACGCAGCCCTGCTTCACGCCGTTGGTCACTGCGAATGCCTCTGAGACAGCTCCGTTGTTCGTGACTCGCGCCATCATACCGTCGTGCAGATGACACACCATTTGAGTGAATCGCTTCGGACCGCCGAATTTCTGCATGATCTTCCACAGTCCTTCACGATTCACCGTGCCGAAGGCTTTCGTCAGGTCCACGAAGGTAGACTACAGGTGGGTCCGCATCTCCTGGCACTTCTCTCTATCACGCACACACACACACACACGACAGTTCGACCATCGATTTCGATGATGTCCACCGTCTGCCCCACAGACTGCATTGTGGGGGCAGGGACGGTGACTTACGCAGGGGTTTATAGTGCCAGTAGACTTGCGTAGCATCTACCTACACTCTCTCCTCCTCCCCCGCCTGGGCCCGGTGTCAAGGCAGAGTCAAGAAGACCGGAGACGAGGGAGGTCGCAGGTGGATGGCTCGGACGGATCCTCACCTTGGCGTTCCACCACACCCCCTGGTCCACACAACAATAACCAGGATTTCAACCAACACAAGAGAGATTTGGAGGCTGGCACGGCCGAAGCCGCACCTGGGCGTGCCGCCAACGCCTGGCTCGGATCCCACACTGTGGTGGGAATGCCATAAAGGCCACATTAAAAAGGAGCCATTGCAGCTAGACTCCCAGACCGCCTCCCGTTAAGGAGGAGGTCCAAGGTATCCCGTCAGTTGGCAACCTTCCAAGCCATGGCTTTTAGCGCACCGTGATAGCTTCAAGCGCGTCAGATTGTTTATAGTGAGGAGAAAGTGCGCTAAGTCGTCGACCTCACTCTCCCTTCCCATCCCCACACTCCAGCCGCTGTCCGAGCCGATCAGCAGACTGGAGTGGGGAATGGGCGCGGTGGCTGACATGGTCGACTGACCATGCCTGCGCGTGCCACAGCACGACCTGGCCCCCCATACACACACAAACACCAGGATTTCACACAACGGGGGTAGAACGGAGTGTCTCCCACTTGCGTGAGAGTGCCGTGGAAGGTGCTGTTGCAGCCCGTCCCCAGCCCACCAGTCCGCCACTACACACAACACACACACACACACAACGTGACGAACTGCGTGAACCGAGAGCGGGCCTCAATCAGCAACCTTCCTATCCACGACGCTTGACGTGTCGGGATAGTCTCGGACACAAGTCACCCGTGCAGCAGAAGCCGCATGGGGACCGAGTCGAGATGCACACTTCCCACTTGCGTGGGAGGTGGCAGTTGGGTGCGTGAGGTGTGTGAGGGTTGATGTCTGGTGGGGTGATGGTGTTAGGAGGAAGGGAGTGAGGGAATGCGTGGTGTGACCGGCGGTTGTCTACCGCAGGTCGTCGTGGATGCGCATGTGGCCGAATAGACCCATGCGATGCGTGAAGGTGCGAGGGCAGTGTGGGCAGTGGAGGCGAGTGCGGTGGGTGTAGGTTGGTGCTCCAGGCACTGGTTCGCCAGTCTCTGTGCGATGGATTCGCAAGTGACCGACCAGGCCGATGTGTGAGGTGAAGGTGCGTGGACAATGTGGGCATGAGAGGTTGGCGGTGTCGGTGTCAGCTGTAGAGGAAGCAGTGGTGTTGGTGGTGGTGGCGGTGGTGGTGGTCAGCGCGTGTGACGGTGGAGCGAGGATGGGTCTGGGCGTGGTGGATGTGTTGGATGTCGTGGCTGTATCGGAATTGTGGTCAATTCCGCTCTCGTGGATGCGCATGTGGCCGAACAGACCCATGCGATGCGTGAAGGTGCGAGGGCAGTGTGGGCAGTGGAGGCGAGTGCGGTGAGTGTAGGTTGGTGCTCCAGGCACTGGTTCGCCAGTCTCTGTGCGATGGATTCGCAAGTGACCGACCAGGCCGATGCGTGAAGTGAAGGTGCGATCACAGTGAGGGCAGATGTAGCCCTGGCCCTCACGTCTGATGATGGAGGTTGCAGGGCTTGTGCCTGTTGTTGTGCCAGGTTCGGCTGTGGTGAAGTCGTGGGCGACAGATGCCGAAGCGGCCGTCGTTGTGGCAGTGAAGGAGGAAGGGGAGGAGTGAGGGGTGGTAAGGTCGGTGGCGTCGATGTCGGCTGGGGAGTGGTTAGTGGGTGCACAAGGTGGTGGATTGGGGGGTGGGGCTCGGCGGGGTGGGTGTGTCGAGGCTGCGGTCAGTTCCGCTCTGGTAGATGCGCATGTGGCCGAATAGACCCATGCGATGAGTGAAGGTGCGAGGGCATTGTGGGCAGTGGAGGCGAGTGCGGTAGGTGTAGGTTGGTGCTCCAGACACTGGTTTGCCAGTCTCTGTGCGATGGATTCGCAAGTGACCGACCAGGCCGATGTGTGAGGTGAAGGTGCGGTCACAGTGAGGGCAGGTGTAGTCCTGATCCTCATCAGTGGTATCGGGAGAGGTGGGAGAGGTGATGTCGGTTGTTGTGTTGGGGTTGGTGATGTGTGAGACAGCAGTCTGAACGGCCGCCGCTGGGGCAGTGGAGAGGGAGGAGGACGACCAGGACGAGGAGGATGGAAGTGTTGGTGCAGGAGGAGTGTCAGAGTTAGTTGGCGGCAGAGAGGACGAGGAAGAGGCGGGCGGGGGGACGATGGCTGGAGCAGGTCGAGAGGCACAGTTGGTCCGGAGAAGTCCAACAAGTCCGATTCGTGCCCGGAATGTCCGTTGACATCGAGGACACGTAGGGAGCGGTTGTGCGGCGGCGTTGCGGACTGGGCGAAGTTGTGATTTGCGGGCTTCGCGTTTCGCTTTGGCGGCGGCGATTCGGTAGGCTTCATAGATAGCAGCACCCGTCTTCACTGTTCTCCTCCATGTCGGGCGATCTCGAGCGAGCTCTTCATAGTTGGTCGGGTTGATTTGCAGGCGCTTCAGGGAGGACTTCAGGCTATCCTTGTAACGGCGAATTTGGCCTCCTTGACGACGAGAACCCGTCGCGACGTCTCCGTAGAAGAGTCGTTTGGGTAGTGGCTCGTCGTCCATGCGCACCAGGTGGCCGCTCCAGCGGAGCTGCATTTGTCTCAGTATGGCGTAGGTGCTGAGGATTCCCGTTCGTTCCAGTACTTCCGTGTCGGGGATTCGATCCTGCCAGTTCAGCCTCAGGATGCGACGAAGACAACTGAGATGGAAGTGGTTCAGTCGGCTTGCCTGCCTCGTGTACACCGTCCAAGTCTCCGCTCCATACAGTAGCGTCGGCAGGATGACGGCCTTGTACATCTTCAGCTTTGTGCCCAGTTGGAGACCATGACGATTCCAAACTGTGCTTTGAAGACGACCGAAGGCTTGACTGGCTTTCGAGATCCTGTTGGCCACTTCGTCATCAATCTTGGTGTTGCGTGAGAGGGTACTGCCCAGGTACGGGAAGTTGTCTACCACTTGCAGTTGAGTCCCATTCACGTTGGTTTGCGGCGCGTTGGGGGCTGTGACTGAGTTGGGTGGCGGTTGATGCATCACCACCGTCTTCTGCGTGTTAATGACCAGCTCAAAGTTCTCGCAGGCAGCGGCGAATAGGTCCATGCTGCGTTGCATTTCCTCTTCCGAGGTGGTGTTCAGGGCGCAGTCGTCGGCGAAGAGGAGTTCGTGCACGGTGGTTGTGGATACACGCGATTGGAAGTTCATGCGCCGGTGATTCAGGAGATGACCGTCCGTCCTGTAGGCGATGCGGATTCCAGGGCGTTCGTCGCGGTAGGCGTCCATCAGCATGGCAGAGAACATAAGACTGAAGAGGGTAGGCGCCAGCACACAGCCCTGCTTCACGCCGTTGGTCACTGCGAATGCCTCTGAGACAGCTCCGTTGTCCGTGACTCGCGCCATCATACCGTCGTGCAGATGACACACCATTTGAGTGAATCGCTCCGGACAGCCGAATTTCTGCATGATCTTCCACAGTCCTTCACGATTCACCGTGTCGAAGGCCTTCGTCAGGTCCACGAAGGTAGACTACAGGTGGGTCCGCATCTCCTGGCACTTCTCCTGAAGTTGGCGGGCTGCGAAGATCATATCCGTGGTCCCACGATGACGACGGAAGCCGCATTGGCTTTCCGGCAGAAGGCCCTGTTCCAGATGGTGGTTGAGGCGGTTGAGCAGGATGCGAGCGAAGATCTTTCCGGCGATGTTCAGTAGGGAGATGCCGCGGTGGTTGTCGCAGACTTGGTGATTCCCTTTGCGCTTGTATAGGTGCACGATAGTTGCGTCCTTGAAATCTTGCGGGACTTCACCTTGGCGCCACATCTCCTGGAAGAGCGCAGTCAGGTGATCCATGAGTTGGGGACCTCCGTGCTTGTAGACCTTAGCAGGGATTGCGTCCGATCTGGGTGCTTTCCCGCTAGAGAGCTGCTGCACGGCCCTGATCGTTTCCTGGAGAGATGGCGGGAGGTCGAGTTCCACGTTGGTCTCCACTTGCGGCAAGCGGGCGATGGCGGCGTCGGAGATGACGGAAGGGCGGCTGAGGACGCCCTGGAAATGCTCGGCCCATCGCTGTAGGATTTGCGTCTTCTCAGTCAGGAGAGTGCTGCCGTCGGCGCTGAGGAGAGGAGCAGTGTCCTTCGTCGGCGGACCATAGACAGCTTTGATCGCGGAGAAGAAGTACTTCCATTCGTTGCGGTCCGCGTAGCCTTGGATCTCCTCAGCTTTGCGAGCAGTCCAGGCGTCCTGCATCTCGCGCAGTCGTTGCTGAAGCTGTCGGCGACTGCGGTAGAAGGCAGCTTTGTTGTCCTCAGTGGGGTGATCTAAGTAGGCTTTGTGTAGGCGGTTCTTCCCAGCAAGCAGATTTCTGATGGCGGCGTCGTTGTCGTCGAACCAATCCTGGTGTTGGCGGGGAGCGCGACCGAGGACGGCGAGCGCCGTCGACTGGACCGTTTCTCGCAGTTGACACCAGCGGTTCTCCACGGAGGCGTTCTCGGCAGCGGCGGCATCGGCGATGGGGAGGTTGTCTAGCCGTTGAGCTAGCTCATTGCTGAAATGAAGATGATGAGCGGGCAAAGACAACAAAGCAACATTCAGCTTACCTGGGGGTCGCTTACCTTGTGGTCTCCTGCGAGGCTGTAGGCGAATACGCATCTTTGAGATGACGAGGCGATGGTCGGTCCACCCGTCAGCACCCGCGATCGCCTTCGTCACCAGCACGTCCCGCTGATCTCGCCTCCGGACGAGGACATAGTCCAGCAGGTGCCGCTGGCGCGACCGAGGATGCCTCCAGGTGGCCTTCTCTCGCTCCGGCAGACAGAAGAAGGTGTTCGTCAGGATGAGGAGGTGTTCTGCGCAGGTGCGGAGGAGAAGCAGGCCGTTGTCGTTGGACCCGCGGAGACCGTGAGGACCCAGCACTCCTCTCCAGGCAGTATGGTCTGTGCCGACGCGGGCGTTGAAGTCGCCAAGGACAATCAACTTGTCCGCCTTCGACACAGTCGCCAAGAGGACGTGCAGGTCCTCGTAGATTTGTCTCTTGCGGCGGCGTCGGGGCTGCTCATCGGCGGAGCGTAGGCGCTGATGATGGTGGCGAATTTGCCTCCTCGCCGGAGAGGCAGGCGGAGACTCATCAGGCGATCGTTGATGCCCTGCGGCAGACAGGGCAGTCGTCCCACGATGTCGGTCCGGATGGCAAAGGCGACACCCGCGTCACGTCGCTCTGCCCTGGGTCGACCGCTCCAGAAGAACGTGTAGCCGGCACCCACCTCCTCCAGTTGGCCTAGTTCGGAGAATCGGGTCTCGCTGAGTGCGGCGATGTCCACCTTGTAGCGCGCCAGTTCTCGTGCCACTAGCGCCGTCCTCCGTTCCGGTCGGTTGCTCCTCGGATTATCTAAAAGGGAACGAACATTCCAGGCTGCCAGTGTGAGCGAGCTCACCCTGCCAGTCTGGCGACTGCGGCGACGAAAAGTAGGAGTAGGAGAAGAAGAAGAATAGGCTGGAAGAGGAAGAGAGTGATTGTTGTTGTTGCTGTTGTTTCGGTTTTGGCTGTTTTGACCGTGTGTTTTTTGTCTCCGGCCACGGCCAGCCTACAGACAGCGTGGTTCCCAGCGATCTTTAGGGCACCTTTTCTAGCCCCCTCCCCCTCGCGAGGGCAGGCAACGCATCCCTGAACAGGGCTGCCCGGTTATCCCAGACGGCTGCCGGACTCCACTATGGGCCGCGACTTTTTGTTAGTGAGAGAACGACCCGAATTAGCCTGGGACCTTGGTGGTGGTGGTGATGATGTGATGGAGTGAAGTAGGAGAGAGCATAAACACAACCTAACGCTATGGGACTTAGAACTAGAGTGGACAGGCGGACACAGTCATCAGTCAGATACAAAGTGAGGGCACCACACAAAGTCGAGCACCGTAACACCTAGCTATTAATAGAGAGTGGCATAGACTGACGGACAGACAATCGCAGCAGGCAGCGAGGGTTTCGTCTAGCTATAAGCGGACAGACTAGCATACAGGGGCAGGCAGCAAGAGCAGCATACGACACGGAACTTTAGCAGACAAAAGGAAGAAACAGAGCAAATGCACTTACCTGAGGGGGAACTTACCTGGTGGCCTCCTGCGATGGTCCAGGCAGAGCCTCGTCTCGACGATGTCGACGCGAAGATCCATCCGGCCAGCGCAGACCACAGTACCGCGCGTGCAGGTGCACGCAAGGATACCCTCACCTGGTTTAGCCCGCCGGTCGAGACGGTTGCCCGGGGTGTGGCCGCCGAGCAGAGCCCAGCTACGTGGAGCCACAGGTGAGAGTTAGGTGCCACACACACACACACACAGCCTGCCGCCAAATGCACATAACAGGGTTTCACACAGGAGATAGACTGCCCAGACCTCAAAGAATGCAGCGGTGCCGCATGGAGTTGTGGCCGAAAAATAAAACTACCCCTTATATGAGAAGTACTTGCATAATGTGATGTTTAAGTCAGTTTATTAAGGGAATGAGGCTTTCGCCCTTGAGCTCCCTGTTCATATCGATAAACAGAAATAGAATTGTCAATTACATCAGAAAATGCGTAAATTCAAAATTTGGCGGTAAGTGTGGGCCAGGCGCAAACTGCCGCCGCTGAAACAATCGTGATTATATGTACAGTATTTTCTCAGCAAATGAGCATCTAGTCTACAATTAAATGATTCGACAGTTTCAGAAAGAACCAATGCATCAGGGAGTCCGCTCCATGCCCCCAATGACCCTGTGAGAGAAGGCGTTCCGTCGGACGTCCGAATGAGCCAGCTTCCTCTGCAGTTTGAAGGGATGACCATGCGCACGGTCAGTCCCGGCCAATTCGAAGAATTCATCAAAGTCTAGGGCGCACTCACGGCCTCTGGCAATCCTGTTGGTTTGAATGAGATTGCCGCGCAGTTGCCTGAAATTTAGAGGAAACAAATTTAGTTCGGTCAGCCTGGTTTCGTAAGGCAGATTAGTAAGATTCTCGACCATCTTCGTAGCCACCGCCTGTACTCTTTCCAGTCGTTGATTGTCTTTCTTCAACCACGGTCGCCAGGTGTGGACTGCATACTCTAAGTGAGACCGGACGAATGCCCCATAGGTCTTTCCGAACAGCTTTTTATTGATCTGCACAAATCCTCGCCCCACGCAAATAACACCCTTATCGCACTTTTGGCTGTCTTTTGACACTGTGATGATGGTTTCAGCGAGGAGGTCATAAGGACACCGAGGTCTTTCTGCTCCACAACATTTGAAAGGGGCTGACCACCCCGGACGTATTGAAAGGAATCGTCTTCCTTAAGGGTCTTTTTGGTGCGGAGTCTCAGGACCATACATTTGTCCACATTAAAATTAAGGGGCCAGCGAGCTGACCAACTGTTCAGGCGGTTGAGACTGTCTTGAAGCGCGTACCTGTCTGCGTCAGATCTGATGGATCTCCACAGCTTAAAATCGTCAGCAAACATGATTGCGCTGCATCCCAGGTCGTTGACGCAGTCGTTAATGTAAACCAGGAATAGCAACGGCCCTAAGACGGAGCCCTGGGGTACAACACTTTGAAAGGAGGTAAGAGTTGACCTTGAGGCCTTAACGCACACGGTTTGTGATCTCCCTGTAAGAAAATTTGTTATCCCTGTCAGCAGCCGTCCTCTTATCCCAATTTCAGAACGTTTGTAGATTAGGCGTTTGTGTGGGACGCTGTTGAACGCTTTCTTGAAGTCTGTGTAGATGACATCGACCCTACCATCCTCGTCCAGTGCGCGAGTCCACTGCTCCGTAGAGAGCAATAAACTGGAAAGGCACGAGTGGTTCTGTCTGAAGCCGTGCTGCAGGTCTGAGGGTAAGCGTTTCTGCTCCAGGAACTTCATTGTTGATTTCTTAACTATGGCTTCCATTATTTTGCAGCAGATGCAGGTTAGACTAACGGGCCGGTAATTGTTAGCATTAGTGCAAGCCCCGCCCTTGTATATCGGAAAGATATTTGCTGTCCTCCATTCCAATGGCAGCATCCCTAATTCGAATGACGAGCGGAGGATGTGTGCCAGTGGTTTGCAGAGTTCATTTGCCAATTCTTTCAAAAATTTGGCCAGTATATTGTCCGGACCCGAGGACTTTGCCTCTTTGAGATTTTGCAGCTCCCTTTCCACCACAGCTGTCGGGAAGAGTATGAAGCTAAGCACGGGACCAGCGGTCTCAACAGTATTACTGGCACTGCGACTACGAAACTCTGTTTCTCTAGTAAAAACCGAGGCAAAATACCGTCCTAAGTGTTCGGCTTTCCTGCTGTTCTCGATGCATTCTACGTCATTATCGTCCTTCAGCACTGCGACCGGCTCCTTGATTTTCAGTCTACTGTTAAGATAGTGAAATAATATCTTGGGCTTCTGTTCAGCCTGTCGGATAATTTTGGATTCATACTCCTTCCGTGCCTGACGGATACATTTTTTGACTGCATTTCGTTGACGGCAAAATTCTTCGAAATGCGCTGGTGACGCAGTTTCCCTGAATATTTTCCATCTTTTGCTTTTCTTCCGTAGCTGCCTATTTAGGTCCCTAGTTAACCAAACAGGTCAACTAGTTGTTTTCTGTGCTTTAGGTGGACAACAGCACCTAATTATATCGAGTGAAATCGTCTTAAAAGATCCCCAGTCGTCCTCCGGATCTCTCCTGAATGATTAGTCCCAATTCACGGACAACAATTCGCTCTTCATCGTGTTGAAATCTGCCTTCCATATAACCATATATTGGGTTGGTCCTCGGTTCTCTTCTGGCGTTGAGAGAAGAGAGAGTAATCCTAGATTAGCTGAGTATGGTCACTTTTCCCGAGAGGTGCATTGGAATACACTTCATCGATATTAGAGAAGACTTTAGTGCAAACTAGGTCCAGACAATTCACTCTCTGGTTCTTTCGAAATCGTGTTGGTACATTTACATGTTGTACCAGAGGGAGATCGAGTGTGAGGTTCAGTAGCTTATTGCTGAAAGAAACTGGTCCACCGTTAACTGCCATAGTTTCGCACTCTATTGCAGGTACGTTGAAATCCCCAGCAATAAGTACCTCTTGGTGGCTAGCTACGTCCTTGACTAAACCAAGGAGCGACCCATCGGCTGCACTCAGAAGGTTTGGTGATCTGTAAATCGCCAGGAATTCTAGATTTTGTTCATTGCTCTTCTTTATCTTTATCCAGACGGATTCATATTCAAGGGAGAGGGTTTGAGCTCTTACAACTGCCGAAATTCCTGCCCTTACATATACGACTACTCCACCACCTCGTCTAGTTTGGCCACCTCTACAAAAGAACTGGTAACCCGATATCAAAATCTCAGAATCCACGATTTCGGCATTAAGCCAAGTTTCCGTTATGGCGATGACGTCGGAGATTCATTCTGATACTATCACTTTGACTTCGTCGATCTTCGAAACGAGACTTTGAGCATCAGTATACAAAAATCTCAATTCGGCACGAGCAACCCCGGCATACTGGCGTTTATCCATTTCATGGGATTGAATGCGAAAGCCGGTCGCAGCTGATCGTGATTAACTGCTTTCCATCACTCCTAAGCTGTTAGGGTTATGGGCTTTCTCCAGAGGAATGGCCTCTGGACGCATATAACTTTCCCGTCCATTATTCTGAGATTTGTCTCGCCCAGACTCGATCGCCTGAGGACTTCCAATTTGAGACTCCTCCATCTTTCTCGCTACGCGGGTGAAACGTCCCGCTGAGAAAACTGATGGATAGGCAGTTTGGAGCGCAGATTTACTGCTCAACAGTAGCTGCGCTTATTCGTCATTCTCGGAGACAATATTTAACGGTCAATCTTTAACGATAGTACGGGGAACAAATATCGAGTCTCCTCGACAAACCATGGAGAAGATAATAATAATTTTTATTAAAGACCCGTCGAGGTCCTATCAAAGCGGGTAAAAATATATTTACATGCGAAGTTTAGACGAGGTAGGGAAAATCTGTACAAAATGCAATTCATGGTTTCTGAATTAATAGTCCGTTAAGAAAAAGGGTTAGCGAGAGGTGAAAAAACTCCACATAAAAATTTAAAAATGATCGCATTAATTTTACAGGAGAAAAGAACCCTCGCTAAAAATAATAACAGAAAAATGCGGGCAGGACTGGCCTGCATGTGGCGGTATATAAAGGATTATAATCCGACATCGTCAGGGCAGAAATAAATGTCAGCCTTGAGGGGTACGTATGCGGGTCGGACAGGACTGGTATGCATGGGGTATTGTGTACACAATTCAGAACTGACATCGTCAGGGCAGGATTGATACACCAGATGAGACTATTCGCGTCAAAGAGGCCAGACGAGAGGAACCCAGACGCGATCGACCACAGTAGGCTTCGAGTGCAGCCGAGGGGTGGGGAAGGGAGGTACGACCAAACTACTAGTAGACGTCGAAAACTGTGGGTTCTGCCGTGAGCATCGCAGACCGCATGAGGTCGAAATGCGGGAAATGACATCAAGAACCCGGAAAATCGTCGCTGTATATGGCCCTGTATAACGGATTTCATGAAGGGGTAAGTAGGCGGGTCGGTCAGGACTGGCCTGTATGTGGCCTTGAATAAGGCAAATAAGTGGCGAATTGAAAACCAGTCTCGAGGCTATAGGAACCCAGATGCGATCGGTTACATTCATCCGAGTCCATCCGAGAAGGGGGCAATGGAGATGCGACCAGACTACTAGTATACGGCGAATGAAGAAGGCTACGCCAAGAGCGTCGATAGAGCGCATTCTGTGAGGGCACGATGCATGAACTGAAAAATTAGAAAAATCAACATTTCTGGTGAAGGATCTTAGGAGGCGATAAGACTCGCAAAGAAAGGAAATGTGATCGGATACGGAAAGTTAATGGCGGCGTCCTAAATTCCCGATGGCCCTTTCTCAGTGTCATAGAGAAAGTTGTCCGGGAAGGATGAGGAAAATAAAAGTCAGTATTTAGATGAAGGCGTAGCCTTCTCTTAAAGGTGTGTGGATTATCTGAAGACCTTATATTTGTTGGAAGGTTATTCCAGAGGAAGGTATATCTGGAAGCGAAAAAAGCCAGTGCTTAGAGGTGGAGGAAGCTAGAGGAGGTATAATCAAGGAAGAGTTGCGAAGATTGTATGGGCGACTACTAGGGGTAAGTGCTGGAATCCGAGGAAGATTTAAACTATTAAATCCGAGGACGATTTGAACTACTAAGATCATGCAGAACGACTTAGTGCAACTCCCATAACTCTACAACTTACAGTCCAACTGCCAACGCGGGTTACGGAGAGGAAGGTCGTGCACGACGAATCTTCTGCGATCTCTTTAGAGCTGAATCCGAGCCCTTGAGCATAGGCAAGAGGTTCATATCGCTTTCGTTAACTTTCAAAAGGCCTACGACATTGTACCAAACCAGACATTGTTATAAAAGCTGGAGAATATAGGGATAAGTTGTGGCTTTCTTAAATGAATCGAAGACTTCCTTAGGGGTCGTCGCCAGGTTGTGGCGTCGATCAAGAGGAATCAGATTTTACTATGGTCTAGAATGGTGTCTCCCGAGGTTCAGTACTAGGACCTGTTTTATTTTCATTATGCGCGGACGATTCCGCAAAAGATTTGGACTGCAAAGCAGAAATTTTCACTGGCGAAATAAAAGTATGGAGTGTAATCTGGGGCTCTGTTAGCGAAGTTAAATTACGGCTCAACCTAAATCAGTTGTAGGAGTGATCAAATCGTCGACTCGTGCGGTTCAGCGTCGGCAAGTGTGTCATACTTTGCCTAGGTAATCCAGCCAGATCCACCAGCACAAGAGACTACTAACACGGTGTAGTTTTATGAGACGCGGAAACCCAAAAGCACCTCGCTGTGTCGACAAAGAAATCCTTGAAGACACCCGCTCATTGCTCGAGAGTGGCAAAAGACACAATGTCCGTACTGTACGCCACCAAGCGAGTATTTATGGAGTTTGATGATGATGTCTTGTGCGAGACCTTTGAAACATTCGTGAAGCCACATTTGTAATATGGCATACAAGCCTGGACACTGTGGTGGGTTCAAGATCAAAATAGTCTTGAAAGAGTCCAAAGGAGAGTCACGAAACTAGTTAGAGGTCATAGTTCCTTGCCCTATGCAATCCGCCTTAAAAATCTGAGTCTATTCCCTTTAAGATAAAGGCGAATGGGCAGGGATCTATTGCAAGCATTCCGCATTCCGAAGGGATTAAATTTCTGCCTGCCCTTAGAATACTTTTTAATTTGCTACCACAGCCAGCCTCCAAGGCCACCCATAAAAACTGCGCATTCAACAGGCACGATTAGAATTGCGGAAGTTCACCTTCCCAGTCAGAGTAGTCAAACCAAGTAATGCCCTCCCCGCAAATTTTTTGATGTCACCATCGAGGACAAGTTTTAAAAGGAACCACGCAGATTTGTGTCCTGAAATGAACAAGAATGATGGGAGATCGAAGTCAACAACTGAGACTCACGCCCACTATTTCATAATATAATAATTATTATTATTATTACTTTATTTAATGCCAATTTACAGGCATTGTCAGGGAAGCGTTAAACACAAATCCGGCCAGCAGTGAAAAAGCTCCTGTGGAAAAGGAATAAAAATATATTTGATGGTGGTTTTTATTGTTTAAAGTGTTCAGGAGAAAAAAACCGCTGACGGCAAACTTTCGACCGTCAAGAAGGGAGGGGTTGCACGGTATCGGATAATATCAGTCGCCAATTTCTTTCATGAAGTTGGGGCTAGTCCAAACAGAAGCGCCGAAGAACAGCTGTCGTTGTTGGCCAAAGAAATTTTCCCTCGTGAGGCCGGCCATAGTGGTCAGAGACCACAAACGCCATCACTACGGTACAGTCGATCAGTGGATTCAGCACCCAAAATTTGTGGGAGCTTTTCTGAATGCAAAAATCGAGTAATAGTTCTTTTAAATAAAGGATAATTTTGTAGAGTTTTCACGTTCCTGGGTAGTTGATTCCAAATAGCAATTGCATTTACAGAAAAGAACCGACGATATTTAACAATACGTGCCAGAAGAAGAAATAAAAAGACCTCACGGTGACTGTTACGTCGGGGGCGGACATGATGTCTTTAAGAGGTGAGTGGGCTAAAGATGTGATTATATAAGAGCATGAATAGCAAAAATAGTCCCTTTTGTAATCTACAGAACCATAAAGGATCGAGGCCTGTAAGCCGGCAACGTTCTTGGTAAGACGAATGTCGGTGTTCGGGGGTTAAAACTCTTTTGGTAAAAAAGTGTTGAACGGATTCTATATTCTTCCGCTCATTGGCACGCATGAGGCTAAATAAAAACGAACAGTATTCCAGGCCAGGTCTAACGTACATGTTGTAAAGGCACATTCTAATTCCCCTAGTTTTAAAGTTTCGGAGGATAAACCCGGTAGTTCTACGTGCTTTGGAGACTATCAAGGCACAGTGCTCCGAGAGATTAAGACTCTTGGAGTATGATATGCCCAGATCCTTTATAACCCTGGGCACATTTATGAAGTGCCCTTCAATACTTATTTGAGGTTGGCGGTCGTCGCCAACCACCACGACTGAGCACTTATGTCAAGAAAGAGAAAGGCGCCATGTGCGGCACCACTGGGCGAAAGCCTGTAGATCGCTCTTTGGGAGCTGAAGCACGATGTCACGATCTGTCGGCTTATATCGATATGCAAATTTAAGATCACTGGCATTCTGAAATTAATCGAGTGCATTACTAACGAAAAGGCAAAATAAAAGCGGGCCGAGGATCATTCAAGTTATTCCAGTCCAGATCGTTTCCCTACACCCTGATCGCGCCTGCTTCCTTCAATAAACTGAACTGAACAAATTAAATGTTGGAATGCGGAATAGGATGCTGTTTAATTTATAGTTTTGTTCTGCCTCCCTGTGATTCTTCATAGGGCTGTGTAGCACTCAGGTTCTCCTTGTGCTCGATAGGTTTCAAATCGTTGGTTGCTTCAGGATTCTTCACTGGACAGGAAACTAAGGAGGGTTCTCCATGCGACTCGGTGGGCGTAATAACATGGCAATCCAACGATCATTTGTCAGCAAGGATGATATGGAGAACGGTTTATTAAAATTCAATGATAAAACACACGACGAAGGGATTAATAAGATACAAGAGGCTTCTCTGACGATATAATCTCCATCTGTCTCCGGCTGAACCACAGGGAACGTATAACTGGAGGCTGCTACAGGGAGTAGAATGCGGTCTTCGGTAGTTGACCTGATGCGCACAGAATACACCCAGTCCGGAAAAGCACCAATTCCGTAAAACAGGAAAAACAGAGTGGTTCACTTCTGCCACATCACAGCTGCTTCGAAAAATAATTGGTTATAGTAGCCTTTCAAGTCTGGAACACATATCAGAGCATTTGGAAGAGGATAATTTTATAAGACATGCAAACTCCAAGCGGAAAGAGAAGGCAACTCAGAGTTGACCCGTTCTGAGCAACGCTGGTTTCTAGATGCAGCAAAAAATATGCTCATTTGAGATTATCAGCATAAAACAAAACTGACTTCTTTAAGCTGCAGATGAAATATCACTAATATAAAGCAAGAACGAAATATAACCTAACACGGTTCTATGGAGGACATCGTTTACGACGGAGTTTTCCCATAAAAATGAGGACACCAATGAGACCTTTAGTTTCCGAGTGTATAGTTTTGGCATAATGCAGTAACTAAGGAAACTGGGATTCCCTGAAGCCCGAAGTTATACAAGGAAAATCTCTGTAACAACTTATCTATGGTTTTATTAAAATCGGTAAACTTACTGACAACAGAACCATTACAAAGAGAGGTAGACTGACTTGTAAGAAGACAAATGCACATTTCGCGAGGGTGGTTGAACATAAAATCGTGTTAGAAAGTGTAGGGACATAGTCCGTTATAGAAAAATAGGAAATTGTTACTACGGTTATTTTTGAACGGCTTGACAGGAGAGGACGTTTTGAGAACGTGTAGATCACTTTAAACTTGAAAACAGGAGTCACATTTAGATACTGGAATAATAATCTAATTTTTTCATAATAATAGTGAGACCATTCTAGAGGAAGACTGAGGGGAATTTGTTTGTGAACAAGGAAGTTCCTCTAGCTGTTAAAATAAAAGAGTAAATTGTTTTATTAAGCATCCGTGAGGACCCTGCAATTGTAAGTCAAAAACATTCAAAAAGTCATTCACGAGTGAATCTCGGGGCGAGTAGGCAATTTGTAAAGTATTGTGCAATAATTTACCGTACTAACAACACAGGTATTAGCTAAAAGCCCAGACACGCGTGTTTCGCCGATCTTGTGCCGCTGCCTGACGCAGCTGCGAGGGCTTCGGCTCGTCAGTGGGTCCCCCAGCATTCCCCGTGTGTTTTCTGGTATATGAACTCCAGTTTCAACTTGCATGCTATACCACTGGCTGCCTGTTGGCGGTTTGTGAATATTAAGCAGTTATTCCGCAGTAGCTGATGGATTTCAGCTCAAATATTCATATCAAATTTCGGACCGTGCCTGAAAAGGCCTGTTTCGAAAGAGTTACTCCAAGTTCGCGCATTAATTTCCTCGGAAATTAAGCAAGGCAAATTTATATAGTGTTAAATATCAGAGAGGAGACTAGAGTCTGGGGCTAGCATGGCACAGAACTGTTTCGGGCTTATATGCCTTCATTCAGCCAATCCTAAACTTAACCACCGTCTGGGACCGGAAACACAGACTTGCGCAGACAGAACTGTCGCAGCTGGTCCATCACTAGAGTCTGCCAGGTGGGTCAGAAGTACTTCTTTGAACCAAGGTTTATCAATGCCTTGACACCTGCCATTCTTCGTCGCTAAAGACTGGGTATTTATTCACTCAGGACTAGGCGCACGAAAATCCATTGGCTTCTGGAAACAAACAAGCTTCGCGTTGGTGATAGGGGTAACGAACAGGCAACCACCTACCAGGCCGAAGCAAGCCGAGCTGCGATAGCAAGTTCATCTAACCTAATTAACGAACTTAGAGTGGCCGTGCCGTTACATCGTGGGTCGCCGTCCACGGCAATACATCCCTTATGTCTCTAGAGTCACTCACGCAACGTAGTTACCTCAGAACTTTATCATTTTTCCTCATCATCACTCCTTTGGTGACCGAGTGCTCGCTTAATGCGAGCTCATAATTCGCAAGCTATTAAGATAAAATATATCTAAGACTAATGGAGCAGGCGAGCAGTCGAAGTGGATAAGATTATTTAGATTCCACCGATGTTCTGGCGGCTTGAAGAAGCCCAGGAGGTCCTTAAATAATCCAATCCTATTCTTTTAAGCCTTCTGGACATTTAACTTATCATTACGCTTTCGAGAGTCTACGTCAAATTATTTGAATCTATATGCATGAACTTCTTCCGTTTTACTGCTCAGTCTCTGTTAGATCTCAAAAACGTCAGAGATCTTACGTTGTTTAGCTACTTCTTCCTATTTTCGTATTTTCTATTTATGGTGTGTGTTTTCAACTGCTGCTGCATAATCAGCTTCGCCGTCTTGGTGGCCGCTTTTTTACTTTGACACCTCTATTCAGGTTTTCTCCTATCCTGTCCTCTTTTTTCGTTTCCTCACTTCGAGCCACCCTATTCAGTCGCAGTTCCTTGCGCTTATCGTCCTTTTCCTCTCACACCGTTATTAAAATCATGCTTTTCATTGTAATGTCAAGCTTAGTTTGAATGCCTTTACGAATCCTAACATACAGGCGTACCGGGGTCCGCATGAGGGATGCCGACAAACTAATACGCATTAACCTTCCACCTCTTGCTTTTCTGCTGTAGAGGTAAGACGACATTTGGTAATATGCTAATTCCAGGATTTCCTTGACTGGGATGAACTTCGGGAGCCTCAGGCCCTATTTTGCACATTAAACCAGTAACGGGAAAAATAACGAAGGTCGAATGAGACATGGCAACCGCGTCCCCGGCATCCTTAAATTTTATTATTATCGTTTGCGAATTCCAAGACATCAGCAAATACCGGTCACTTAAATTATGTCTACCGAATTACAAAAGCTCAATAATACCATTCTGGCTGAAATTTCTAATCAGAAATTTTGGATGTACTTTTTGTTTTGCTGACTACGTGTTCTATAGCAGTTACATGGAGAGAATAAACGCGGAATTAGTTGAACACATTCATTTCCTTGAGACGCAGTTAGCAAATCCAGAGGAAATTAGTTAACTATTTTTTCCAGTTATAAGAGTTAGATAACGAATGGAAGACACGCTATGACGTACAAAGTCAAATAAATGAACATATCGAAAAAAGCCGACTTTACACGAAAGAATTAATTTGTAAGGCGAAGGAATCCCTAAGCAAAGGTTTGCAAACCACTTTAATCATTTGCTCCTTAGTTTATGGCTCTCTGAAAGAGGATTCGATTTTGTCAACATTTGGTGATTATGACGAAAATGCTCTTGAAAAGCTGAGCACAGAAAAGCAACTGCTGAAAAAGCTTAGAGAGGAAATCGAGTGGAGAATTGAACAGGAAGAAAAGTTAAGAGTTTTTAACATTCATAAAGGTTAAAGGAGTAGTGAAGTGAGACGTAAAGGTTTTAAAATTTGTGGATGGTTTAAAGATTGTTATTTGTCTGGTATAGTCCTTCCGGCACTCTTCTTCTATTATGCCCTAAGGATTCGTTGGTGGCGATGGAGAAAAAAGGAGCAAACTCGTATCGGGCAGAAACTAGAAGTGACGATGATGATTATTAACCGGTTTTGCATTTGGCCACATTTTTGAAGCATAGGGCACTTCTGGAATCCTTTGGGAAGATATCGAACGTCAGGTTGAAGAGCCGGCGACATTGGTGGAAACAAAACGTACTAAAGTAACTGAACGTGTGGCTTACATCCAATAACACCACACATCAAACTACACCTGCACTTAATCAAAATATCGCTCCCTTATTTAACTCTTAATTGTGCAAAAACGCATTTTGGTGGTTTGAAAGGCCATGCCGTACCGTTAGGCTCTACTTTCATTGTTTGGAAACGTCCGTATTTTTTAGTTTTGATTCGTTTATGGGAAACTCAACGGTCTCAGACTGATTCAAATCAACAAAACGAAGGGGAAATTTTGAATACAGCCGACTCCTTAATCACCTGATCCACGAGGACCCATCGAGAGCCGTTAGTTTAATCACACATGGGTCAGTTTGCGCGCCTATCCCGCAGAAACGTACGAAGTTTGCCTATTCTGATACAGTTAGCAGACTACCCAAACAAAATTTTCTCATTAATTGCTCTAGAATCTACCACATGTCTGTTAAACTAGTGTGCTTTTACTGCATTCCAAACCAACCTCGAATGTCTTAAGGTTTGTATACACTTCTAAACTATCGTTTGGCGTAAAAATGAGTTTGAATGGTCTCTTTTTCGCTGAAAAATCATGGAAAATATTTACAAAGTTTTGTGCTGATTATATAATCAACCTTAAACACAACTTTGGTTTCTCGTCCGTCCACAGTTTAGATTTTGTTGCATCTTTTGTTGAAGAAGCCTGCTTGCCGTTGACATGATACTCGCTGAATTTTCCACCTGCGCATAAGCAAGGGCGGCTGGGATTATTCTGCAGATGACTCGGCATCACAGAATAGGCTGAAGACGTTCGCATAACGGAGGTGTCCAAAGGACATCCAGTGACCTGACTTTGCCAGGGTGGGAACGAAATTTAAAAACGACCTACTTGATCAGCCTTTCGGGCAGGGGCGGAGATTTAAGTCATCCACCTTTGGTGAAGAATGCATCTTAACAGGAAATAGTCATAAAAACTATTGTCGGAAGTGATCACCTGTTCCTAGTTAGTGAAGTCAGGCGACCCATCAAAGGCCGGGCGCTTGAAGTTTCCGCCGGGAAGGACGATTAAGACTTAGAGACTGAATAGAAAAGAAACGCCACGTGCCTAAGAAATCAACGATAGACATCTGAGGAACGGTAGAGGCAGCCGAGGGGTACGGGAAAGTTATAATAAAGAGAGACAACCTCACACAGCGCCTGTTGCCAGGATTTTCCACCTGCGCCTAAGCAAGGACAATTGGGATTATTTTGCATACACAACTTTTAGAGCTTTATAAGGCTTCATTTTAGGCTTGCTGTTGGTGTCAAATAACTATAACTTATACATTCTGAGATGCATTCGAAAAGATTACCTCTGCTCTCATGATAGTGAGATGCATTCTGAGATGCATTCGAAAAGATTACCTCTGCTCTCATGATAGTGATACATTCTGAGATGCATTCGAAAAGATTACCTCTGCTCTCATGATAGTGATAATTAAAAACTCTGAGATGCATTCGAAAAGATTACCTCTGCTCTCATGATAGTGATAATTAACAACTCATCTTAATCAAGATTGCTTTGTCATTAAACCTCATGCAAGAACCCATATAGACGATCGCACGGAAAAGACGCAAAAACTAACAAAAATTGTACAAACAGGTAGAAGAGATACCAAAAATGACTACCGCTGACCTACATCGGTGAGGTTTGGAACCATAGCGGCAAGCGCAAGTCTTGAATGCAATTGGATCAAGGGAGTTATTCATATTTGCCAAAAGCCAGTTAGTTAAGTGAGCTCAGTAGTCGTTTGACGGATTCCCTACCGATTGCTTAGGAAATCCTTCTGGGATAATCAGCCTACTCTATCAGAATCAGTGGATTTCATATGTTTCATAAGGTTGGTCGGACAACTTAATCCAAATGTAATTAAATTCCTGGCTCTCGTAAATTTTTTGAATCTGTCAGAAACATCAGCCAGCAGCATCCAGACTGCAGACTTGGAGGACTTGCGATTTCGGTCCGAATCGGCCAATGTACCGGGTCGGCCGACTGATTACAGCAAATAAATCAATGAAAATCCGTAGTTTCTACGTTCACCACTGCACTCGGATGACTAATACGTATTTCACTGATCTGGTATTGTATCATAATACTTGCGATAATAATATAGATATATGTGTTTACTCTTTTTTGACTAGCCGATCAACATTCGCTTTTTGTACGCAACTATTAAAACAATCTCTTTTTCAACTTCGTACCAATCGGTGCATTTTATACCCAGTATGGCGTTCAAAAGTGAACCGCACCGAACTGAACAATCTTCTTTTTTATGAAATAAAGCGGTTGTATATAGGATGTAGTTCGTAATGAGACTGGTATTTTTCAATGAGAAATCGGTATGCTAACGTCTAAATCTATAGTTCCGAGTAAACTCTGACAAGCGGTTGCTAGCCAAAATTGCGGACCTCAAGTCCAGTTTTACTGGGATGCACAGGATATCTCACGTTGTCTCCATAGTGCGGACCGCCATTCTTACTGGTTTATTCAATCAATATCTCCGATATGCCTATTACTGCGCACTTTTAACGAGTTATTTGCTCCCAAAGACGAAATAAACTTCTTTATGGGAGATCGCTGGAAAATATCAGGACCTCAAAAAATAAGGGCAAGCTACGACTATAAAAAAAGTCACAGTCCTAAAAAGAATTTACCGCCTATGTAGACATGAATGAGAAAAAGTGGTTAAGGCCGCTGACAGCGGCCAAATTTTGCTTAAATGTTGCAATGCCATTGGGATGAAAAAAACCTATGATAGAATATTTTAACTCATATCAAAGTGCCCAGCCTTGCCACTTTTTCCACTGGGTTTGCATTGTATATTTCTAATTTATAAGGCGATCTGATACATGATCATGATTTCATCTAAGATCGCGTATTCTGTTCTACAACCAGAACAGATAGGAGAACTGAGAGCATGGGGCGTTTGATTTGCTTGCTTGCAACCGGCAAGACATGGGTGCATATATCAAGTAGTAGAACGTCTGACTCTGACCGTAGATCATCCTGGTCCTTCTTGCCCTTGATCTTGCAGGTAGGTGACTGAAACATAACGAACAGTTTCATTACCTCCTCCACTGGGTCGCTGGTCCAATGATCCGCTTTTGGTTTTGTGGGGCTTTGAACATCGGTATTTAGTTTACTTTCCATGGATTAGCAACGGGATCTCATCTCGTATCTTCTGTTTGATACTCCCAATAAGTTCGTCACCTCTAACACCCATTTGGCCGGATTCTTTAATTTTATTGTCTCACGGTCAGTCACCCGGTTGGTGAAGTTCGTTTCTCACCTTAAAACTTTTCATGGGTCCCTGAGACCCTATGCTAGTAATTTAATCATTAGTAATTCACATTTTTTCACTCAAGATTTGAATCGTTTAGGAAGGCTCACTGGACATGAGAAACTACTAAGCATTTTGAGTGAGACTGAAACTTTCATCTTTGGTCTACGAACTGTTGCAACTGCTATATTCTAGCCTCGCGTATGGACGGCCTGAGATTTCAGATCAAAATACTGACCTTTTGTTATACAAGGAGACCAAGTTAATAGGCACGTGGCTGTCAAAAATAGGCATAAGCATGGCCTACCTGCCATTTACCACTATCACCACCACCACCACCACCACTACCACTCTCTCAACCAACACTATTTCGAGTTCGGTCTCATTAAGAAAGAGAAGCAGGGAGGACGACCAGATGCCAATTCCGTACGGGAGGCTGAAGCGCAGTTGTAGGATAGACTGTGCTGGCTGCCAGTCAGCAGATTGAACCAGCCAGACGGGCTAAAACAATGAACGCTTCAAGACGACCAATCGCTTCCAATCGCTGTCGTTCGTATAGGCTCTACTTATATACGTTAAAGTAGTCATTCTTTTTAGGTATATTTCCACCTGTGCCAACGCTTAGCAAGGCCGGTGGAAGTTTACTTCCAGGCATTATACACGAAAGCCTATAATCAGACTTCATCTGCCGAGAGGAAGTGCTTCCCTACTAAGGAGAATTATTAAAATCAAAAACAGAGGTCTTGGTTTTTCCAGCAGGCTTATAAAGTTTATCTACTGATCTAAAGGTGCCCCTCTATCATTTTGTTTCTAATTCCTCCCCGTTTCACTCCTAATCATTCTTCTTATTACCTTTCGTTTAAAAAGGTGTCGCTGGCAGATCAGATGAATAGGCTGCAGGGGATACTAATGATTTTCTGACCTCCTCGGTGAGCAGAGAGGTTGAGAATTTATTAATTTAAATATCTACAGTGAGTGACCGAGCTCATGGAATGTTGACCGAAATTCTGAAATGCCTTTGCGACTAGGAAGGATAACTTAGGTGGAGTTGTAGTATTGATCATCATGCGGCATAATCCTATAATATTTTGGACTCGCCAGGATGTCCTGCTTTTGAAGGCACTTCTTGTCGATCTCCTATAGAATCCGCACTCGGTAAAAGATGACCACTTAGGTAGTATGCATTTTTTACATTAATTTTCGATGGTCTCATAACTTCATATGCACAAAATGTGCTTTGATTCCCGAACAACTTTGAGTCTGATCAGCCATTGCATTAGCATTTAGTGATTTCTGTCTGCAAGGTGCATTCTTTCCCCGTAATGAAAATCATATATTCCTCTATGCCTTCAAGAAGGTACCATATAGAGTTCATAAAATTTTGTAATGGATTAGGGCTATGTTGTACATTTTATGAGAAACACTGGTAAACGGACAGGTACGATGCTGTATGAAAGGACACTGCACGGTCCGAAAAAATCTAATAACTAGAAACTTTTCCAAAACCTACATATACCTTCTCTTTTGGCATAAAATGTAAAGACAACGCGAGTTTCCACAAAACGTACCGTAGAAGGCATATTTTGTGGATATTTTCTATAAAGTATATTTGAATTTATGAGACCATAAAAATCAATGTGAAAAATGCATGCTACTTAAGTAGACTTTTTTTATCGAGTGTGGTTCCTGCAGGAGGTCGAAAAGAAGTGCATTCAATAGCCGACATCCTGGCGAGTCCAAAATACTACAGGATTAGGCTGTTAGATAATCACTATTACAACCCCACCTAAGTAGTCCTTCCTAATCGAAAACGCATTTCAGAATTTCCGCCAACATTTCATGAGGTCGGTCACTCAGCGTAAGTTGCCACAATTTGCGCACATTGTCTGCGCTGCTGACCAAATATGCGGAATTACTGTTCACTACATCAAAGCAACATTTGTTGAAAAAAAACCGATTTCAATCGTTTCGGCGGTGGAGTATAAGGAGAGGAAAACCCTGGAGCAGATTACGGTCCATAAATTCGTTCTTTTTCCCACGGACTTTTTGATGTAGTTTTGCAATTTTGAACTGTGCAGGCCTTTCACGTGGCAAGTGATGCCCGAAAATCCGCCCTAGTGGAACTGAACTTTTCCTTCTTGCCGCCGGACGCCCCCTCCATCTTTCAGGAATTTGTTGACTTGTCGCCGCGATTTCAGGAGAAAAGGTGAGGCATCTCCCGTGACAGAACTATGCTTCTGTACGTTTTTTCATTGGAGTTTGCAAACTTATGACCTTACTTTCAAGTCCATCGGCAGACTAACTCCTTCCGGAAATATTTTTACCCTGAACAACTAACTACACACAAATCGCTCTCAACAGTAAGCTGCTACTTTCGTCCAGTCAATTCATTTTTCTGCCTTTACTGCTTTCAGACGCATACCACAGAATAGACGGATGCTGGATCCAAAGAAAGGCCCAATTCGGAAGGCAGTGGCTGCCGGAAGACTACCGAAATTAGCCTTCTGATATTGCCTTGTTTCGCAGTATTCCTAATCTTCCGTGAGTGCCGCCTTCGGGTTGTTGGAGAAAAAAAACCTGTTGAATCGCGCATCCCCTCTCTGATTTTCGGAAGTTTGAATCAATCTTAATTACACCAAAAGAACTCAGAAGGACAACAGTCTTGTCTTTTTCCCCCGTGTTTAAAAATCTTGCTATTTTTCACCAGGCGCTCTGATTTGACGTACATTTCCACCGCATATTTGAGTTTTTTAACTTCTTTGAACCTGTTTCATCTGCCCGTACCAACTAGAGGAAAAAGTGGCGCGACAGCATACGAGACGCAAAATCTGACCTAATTTCCCAATTTCCTAAGCCTACCTCAGTAAGATGTGGTTATGTAACTCCACCTGAAGTAAAAAAAAAACCTCAGCTACCTGTAATACGAGACCGGTGGTAGTAGGGGTTTTTACAGGTGGGGCCGGGGAACGCACAGGCGAGGAGGTCAAGTAATTGTATGCAAAGGAAAAATTATCGGGAATGCGCGGTTGTACTTTGAGTGATGGGGGAATAGTGACTTAACCCTAACCCGTAGCCCTAACCCCTAACCTTAACCCCTGACCCAAACCCCAACAGGGGTGTTGTTGTGAACCGTCATCACTATCGAACTGGCTGTTATGTTCCCCATTTTCCCTGAGGTTCTTTTACATGGCGTCTGCTCTGACGTGTCGTCTTACGGGAAGAAAGGATTGTTGAGGGACTTTCTGAAACCCCTGTGGACGCTGAGTCGTATATTAGAAAGATCTGCGGACTCCTTAGATTCCATAAAAATGAAGCCTTAGTGCCACCGATGATATCGTTAATTTGTGCACTCAGGCACAAAACTTCTAAATGGTCATTCAATAAACTCCATCCACTGGCAAATGGTTTTAGGACTGAAATTTATATCCTTCTAAGCAAAAGACCTGACGGCACCGTCTGGAAGTGTGCCTATCAGAGGAAAAACTGACCCAGACAATATACGAACTTCGACAGTTTTGTATCCCCTCCCCCTCTATAGAAACGCAATCTGATCCGTTGTTTGTCGCAAGGGGCCAGAAGGGTTCTTTCGGCAAACAGCATCTAGGAGGAGCTTAGAAATATTCAGAACCTTCTTTGTGCAAAGAGACCAGAAAAATCCCTCCACATTGACGTCGGAATAAAAAACTCTGCATCTTAGTCTCCTTCCAGGTGAGAGAGGGAGGACATAGCGGGTGAAATTTCGAGAAAATGCCTTGAACAAGCCGTTTCACGAACCTCCTCACGCGGTAAGAGTTCGGCTATTATTCCCGACCAGCCCTATTTTACACGGAGAAGATAACGATAGGTTGCCAGCTCAGCTCCTGTGGAGCAAGTTATACTGATCGCACGAGTAGGCACCTATGCAAGGAGTACGGGAACACCCCCGATATGGTTGAAGAAAAGACGAAAGGAAAATCATAAACAGTGCCATTTTCACATGCAACCTTGATTCCAGGCATCGTTTGGACCACACTGAAGCTTTCCGCATGATTTACGAGGTTGTACCAAACTACCCTAGGCCACTGGTTCAGCGTCTGCTAGCAATAATAGTGATGACTGCCTTCATATTACGTTAACCGGTCTTGCGGGCACAGAAGAACCTGGTACAAGCTCCACATCTACCGTGGCCAAAGGTTGGTTAACTGCATGCACTTCACCGAGTCCTTGCACACTACCAAGTCTCTACTCAACTCTCATTACTTCCTGACTCACTGTCTCTTATTACCTCTCTCCCCCTCCCACATTCCCACACGTCACTTAAATGAAAAGAAGAAAATTTAGTCGATATTTCCAATCCCCGCTGGTTTTGCTTGTACTCCGTTCCTATATAAATGCCCTGGACCGACGAGAATTTATCGAGAGCACACGAATGCTCGCCAGATGGTCTTTTGAAAGCTGGTATAGATGAAACCCCTATGTTGTTTAATTCTAATGATCTGTGCTAATTTTCCGAGTCATCCAACAACCGTTGCTGATCAAGCAAAGTCAAGACTGAATTTACTTTATCAGGATACAAACTGATTGATGGACGGCAATTTATCCAGACATTTTGCCGTCCGGGGAGGCTGCCTCGTTAGTGTGAGTGAGGATGGAAAGTGACAGTTGTGGGAATGACAGCTGATTCGTACGTCTAGGATATTGTGTCTTTATGGAGAGTCACGACTAGGATCCATAGGTTGCACGAATACACGACTCCCTTAAACGTCCTTTACCCCCCTGCTATCACCTTCACTAGTCATCCAAGAACCGAAATCTGATCCCGTTTCATGTGCATTGTGATCAGTTAACACTCGGTAAATAACAGTGTCAAACCAGGAACGAGGGCTCAGCTTGTTCTACTTAAAAAGGGCCGTAATGCCCCGTTTATTTTTGCCCTCGCCCTCTGAATTTAACGAGGAACTATGTGGTCGATGTTTATTGATGATTCCAAATTCCTCGGAAAAAGCACAGGACAGTTGCTAACTGTTTACACGAAAATGTAAGCACTACAGTACGTTTGTGGTATGACCTTGGTTTTATGATCGGACTTGGTCTCTAAGATACTAATTAGCCCTGCTCACATGATGCATTCCAAACGGGTAGGAACAGCCTATAGGAAAGAATTAAGGAAAGAAATATTCCAGTCCCCCTCCCTCCCCCAAAGATCATAACTGAGAACTCTCTCTGCAAGAGTCGACGATGAGCGACCATGTTCAGGAGAGTATCAAATAAAACACAACCTACTTAAACAGGTATAGTAGGCATTCTTTGTACGTCTTAGGTACTTGGGAGCCTTCAC